GCCAATAGAGGAACTGTGGAGGTGATTGAAAGAGGATTTCATGATCCTGGGTCTGTTGACTCAGCGTTTTGAGTTTTAGTTTATTTTGATGTTTAAGTTCATTTGTTTATTAGTTTCCCCGTATGTTTTCAACCCCTCTGTTAAGTCTCCTTTGTCCTTTATGTGTTTCATGGCTGCATGTCTTTTGTTGTCAAGTTCATTTTGTCACATCTTTGTTTCATTATGTTTCCTATTTTATTTTGAAGAGGTTCTGTGTTCCTGTGTTTAGCTTTACATTTCCCCTGTGACGTCGTTATGCTCATTTGTTTCAGCTGTTTCCACTTCCCTCATGATCCTCCTGTGTGTATTAAGTCTGTGTGTCCTTGTCAGGTCGTCCGCTTTGTTCACGTCATGCATCCAGTTTTTGTCCATGTCTCCATGTCAGGTCCCATGTGCACGGTTTTTTCATGCTTTAATCTTAGTTAACCCAGTTTAATTTATTGTTTAGTTTCACCTTTGCCTTTTGTTTTGTACTTCTTTGCCAGCCTTAATAAACAGCTCATCTTTTGTCTGCATTTGAGTCCTTTTTCTGCCTCAGCCAGACTGTGTCAGAGGAACTGGAAGTCAGGAGTGGCAGAGAGTATGAGGATAGTGGTGAGGTGTCGAGTAAGAGCGACACGGTTTGGGGGGGGTTGGGGGTGGGATTACATCAGGTATTCGCTTTGAGCCCCTTAACTATTCGTGGTTAGAATCATAAACTATGGGAAGCCAAAAGCTGATTCTATTCTCTTGCTTTTATTCAAAATGTTTTTTGAATTTCTGCCAATGAGAAAACAAGGAAAACACTCTTCTGACTGACACAGATCACAATCTATTTACATTTTTCTTCAAAATGTAACAGTAGAGTAAGGTTAGGGTTATCATCTTTGATGACCTCAAAGGGTTAATAAGTGTGTTGTTTAAAATCCCTTTCTTGAAACACATAGAATGTGGTCTGTTATGAAAAGAAAGACACAAGAATGTAAGTAAAAAGTGTCCATACAGGGTTGGAATGCAGCACAGTGAAGAATTCAGGGCTGGTGAGGAACTTGGCGCTAGGGGACTGAAGCAGCAGGGTTAGGCGAGACCTGGGACTGGACTGTGGCAAATTGCTGTCCCTACGTAGCTCTGCAAAATATACCAGAATCATCAAAATAAAAAAAAGAAAATCACAGGGGAAGAACATGGATCAGGATTTTGTGCCGTGTAGAAGGGGCTACCTGGGAATGAGGGTTGCATATCAGTCTCATCAGCTGAAAGCTCATTGGGTAGCTGCTCTTCTGGTCTACTGTCATTGGTCATTGTCCTACGTATACTTTGATACCTGCAAATGTATGTGTACAGTAACAATTAATGATAATGTTACTAAAAACAAAAAAATGGGAAGTGGCAAATTCATTTCCCTTTTTAACTGAAACTTTGGACGAACATCTAGTTTGCGAATCTTCATGTGCATATGATTGTTTTCTGACCTGCGATTGAGCTGTTCCATCTGCTGTATGGAGTTAGACCTCTGAAGAGTTTGTGGGGCCGGGGGTGCGGTTGGACGTTGCCATGTTGTTGTTCTGTTCACGTGGTCCACATAGAAAATGCGACCATGGCTGTCTATGCGAGCCTCCCAATCTGGATCACACACAATGCAACAGAGGAACACGAATAGTAGTTCTCCAAAAGATTCTGTTCATCTGGACGGAGCGTTTTGTGGGAGGAACGTTTCGTCACTCATCCAAGTGCATCAAGACATATAGTAGTTGTTTTTCATGTAAGAATATAGAGGTTTGTAAACTAAGGTTTTATGAACAAAAATGACACAGTAGATTATATATAATTATAATCATATATACATATATATATAATTATATATATAAGATTTTGGCCTTAAAGTTACAGAACTACTGACTACAATCTACAATCTAGCTGTTTTTAAGATTAAAATACAAAACTGAATCTGTGGCTTATGGGTTTATTACAAATGAGAAATTCTAGCATTTAAAGCTAAGGTTGCAAATTCAAATTCAGTAGCAAATTCCACATCTGAAAAATAGTAACACACATTTGTGTCAACTTGTCTAGTCATACATACATGTAATTGGAAAGGCCTATTACAGTATTTTCCGCACTGTAAGGTGCACTTAAAATCCTTTCATTTTCTCAAAAATCGACAGTGCGCCTTATGTATGAATTCTGGTTGTGCTTACTGACCTCGAACCGATTTTATGTGCTACACGGTGCTCAAATATCTGTCAAAACATGTTTTAGTACAACTTTGCTAAGCTATGTGCTATTTATTTATGTGCTACACGGCGCTCCGCTAAGCTAAACTAAGCTACGAAGCCTCACCGCTTGATGGATTGTCGGAGCATTACAGCTACCGTAGTCAGGAGCCTCGCGGAGGAATCTGGGTCCTAAACTCCGTCTGCTTCAGGTCCCAAAGTCAAACGAACACTAC